GGGGGGGGGGGGGGGGGGGGGGGGGGAAAAAAAAAGAAAGATTCATTGAATGAATGGCGGGTATAAAGACGGATGATGAAAAGATGGAAAATGATCTGAGTTTTTGGGCAGCAAAAAAAAATTAACGACAACTTTTTGTGCTGCAAAAACTATAAACTGCAAAAAAAAATTGGATGTATATATATACATATATCTGTTTACAAAAACACACAAATATACAACCCAATTCATATAATTATGCATATACATTCAAAGAAATGATATTGAAGCAAAAACTGAAATTTTGAACAAGTTTTTTGTCATAATTAACTTGGTGAAGGATTTAATGATGTTCAATCACTTACTTTTGCTTTTCAAATCTTTCCAATTTTTTCAACTTCTTTCTCTTCTTAAATGCAAAAGAAAAAAAAAAAGGAGAGAGAGAGAGATACAGAATTACGAAAAGGTAGAAGGTTTTTCCTTTTTTTTTCGCCAACAATGGAGGAACGTTGAGTTGAATGATGTTTTTTTGGTAATTAACGCCGAATTGAGCAGTATTTTACTGGCAGAAGACAATTTGAAAAAAGGAAAAAAAAGGAGAGAAATAAAAGCAAAATTCAGGTCACCAGATTTTTCTTTAACTTTTTTTTTTCTTTTTTTTTTTTTATGCTGTACATTTTCACTCAATTCATTTTTACACTAATACCGAGGTTGTGGCATTCCGTCGTCTGTATTCAGGATTAGAAATGCTCAGCTGTAATACCAATAACGGTGGAACATCAGCAATTATTATCATATGGGTATTGCTGTAGTATCGTTAGTTGTCTGTATTTTTTCGGTGTTACATCTGTTATTGTTTTCTGAAGGTTAGTAATATGTTACTACTGTAATCTTTACTGTTTTTTTTTCTTCTTCATCTGGTTTATGATATTGACGATGGTATAGCAAAAGGATATAAGGGGGTTTTTTACAAAAGATTTCTGATTAGAATTTATTGCAATCGCTCAGTGCCACCAGCAAAGGCGTTATTTTAAATGTCCCAACAACATACTGAGCTATCAGAGGTTTCTGGAATCTTAACCTTAGATAGCTATTCAAAAATGAAACTTTACGGTTCTGTTTTGTCTGACAACAGATTATGACGCTAGGAAGGAGTTGAATTTCTATAATCTGATACAGAAATGCATAATTCAACCAAACACTCTATGTTTTTTTTTTTTTTCGAAACAATAGTATTACTTCACACAACAAAATTTCTTCAGTTTTAAAAAGCCTCACTTTTTTAGTTTTTTGATCACCGAAATGTTTCTCTCGTTTTTTTTTTCTACGGCAACAGATCTTTGTTTGGTTTTTAATTATTGAAAAGAAAAAATGACTGATTGACAGAAGGTTTTTTTAGAAGGATGGGTAGGGCAAGAAACGAAAAAAAGGCATAGCTTGACATTTCTTCTTTGATATGTCATCAGCAAAGCAAAAGATAAGTTTGCAGTAGGAAAAAAAAAACTATTGTTTTCAGTGAAAAGAAAAAGCAGATTCTTAGATACTTTCCAAAAGTGAAATTTTCTTTTTCATAACCAAAAATTGTTGTTGCTGTTGTTTGCGGTACTGCTTTCTTGATCTAATTTTTTTTCATTTGTCATTTATCAGCTATACAACAATAACTTTTGCGTATAAAACTCTTTAGAGCATTTTTTTTTGAAACTTTTAAACTATAATTTAAAAAATGTAATGCATAAAGAATTTGGTACTGTAGAAGGAGAACAGCATTCAAAAAAATGTTCAAAAGTTCGAAATAAAGAGCAATTTTGTTGTAGTCACATTTGGTTAAACTTTAGTCGCGATGGCTTCTCGGCTAACAGTCGGCTGTTAAAATGCTCAATTGAATCAAAAAAAAGCCTTTCCTGAACAGAAATGAACGGCAAATATTTCCGCCTTTACCCATCTATTCATCCAACTTTACCTATAAAAAATGGACAAATAAATAAAAATAAGAAGTAAAAAAAAAAACAAAAGAAAAAATAGGAAATTTTACCGTGATTCATTTTAGTAAAGGTAAATTGAAATGTCAAATGTTTTTGCGTTTGCGGTGATATTCTTCCGCATTTTTTTGCAGTGGTAAAAGATAGTGAAAAAGAAGGTGGAAATTATTCATATTTTGATTCATGGAACGTATGTATAATTCAACTTAACAAAAATATAAGTTTAGTGGAATAGCAATTTCTATAGATTCATGATTAATACCAATACTGTTCCTCTTTGTATTTTTGGAAACCTTTAATTGTCTTCATTTTTGGTGCTGTAAAAGGCAGGAAAATGCTTGCACTAATTGATTTGGACATTGGAATTGAAAAAAAAAAAAAAGTAGAAGAAGAAGAAACTTAAACATTTTTTGGTAGTTTGTTTTGAAAGTTATCACTTAGGAGAGAAGTTAGCAACAAACTACCTAAGGTTTTTTAACAATGTTAGATTACAGAACTGAAAAAATTATCTGTTTGTTTGTTATATTTTTTAATGATACTGGTTTTTTTTTTAACTGTTCTGAACTGTTAGGTGTCAAATTGAGAATATTTTTATATTGAAAGAGAAAAACAGGTATTTTCATAACTTTTTTTTTTTGCTTCTAAAATTTTCGAATTTGTAAATGAATTGGATTACAGTGAGTTTTGCATGCACTGAGTCTTATATCGCAACGTTTGTTCGGTCTGATGGTTATGGTAACGTTGATGGAGCAAATATAGCGGTTCATGGAATAAGCGAATTGGAATGCGAAATTAAATGTTTGGAAGAGATTAATGTAAGTTAGGACAAGAAATACTGTTTGTCATCACAACGAACGATTTCTGTAATTATAATAGTTAAATTTTGAACACAGCAATTCCTAAGGTACTGCAAAATTAGCACTATGCAACTGATCAGAAACCTTGTTACAAACGAGTAATTTTTTTAGAATATTACATGCACATTCTTCTTGTACAACTGGAATAGACAGTTTTGTCAAATTTATGACAGCAATGATTTTCGAGGTACAGCTATTGAAGACGGATCAAACTCATTGTTTCAAAAAATTTGTATTCCCGGTATGAAAAATTATTTTTGCTGCATTAGATTCACAGATATAGTAGTAGACTAAATTAAACAAATAAGTAAGATCATGAACCAGGTTAAAATAATTAAGTTCTTTGGGAAATTGCCGAAGCAGTTGACTTTACTGGCGCTCAGTTAGACTAGAAATAAAGCTTTATTTCTAGATCATCTTCACTGCGCAAAATCTTATGCATTTCAACGAAGTCCACAACGTGTTCTTGCCGGACTTTCTCTTGAAGTAAGTTTTTGGTTAAATAGTGAAATATTTTCTTAGCAATTGAGGCGTATAGTCGACAGTTATTGGACCTATTACAGCACGGCAGTGTTAAGGAAGCTCTGATATTTATATTAAAACTGTTGAGCTAATTTTTAGAAAAAGTTTAGGTGAAAAAAACCGAAACTTTGGTAGAGTGTCTGATATTGTGCCTCGACTCTTCAGTGAAGCTACAAATTGAATGCAGGTAATCACCTGACATAATCGTTTTTTTATGAAAAAAACTTCTTTTTCTATTGGATGTATACTCTTTTTATATCGCTTTCAATGGTGGTTGTTTGCTAAACTATCATCAAGTCAATTTACTTTCAACTTCTCTTTACAACCGCAATAACATTTGAAGAATTCGTTTTTTTGCACACTGAAATAAAATTTTTACTAAGGTAAATAAATGCGAAAAGAAAAAAACAAGATCAATAAATTTGTTGGAAATTGACTAAATTTTGATTGTATGTGTTGATGGATAGCCATCAGTTACCAGTAATCAGTAACTGCTACTGTAGATCCGTAATGTACTATTATGACTCTGGTGAGTGTATTCTGAATAGAGAAAGTCGTCATACAATTACCAAGGCTTTCACAAAGGCTAGAAGCACCGAAGAAGTGGATTATTTTGACAATATTTGCTACAGTGGTATAATTTCTATATTATGTTTAGCTTCTCTTAGTGGCATCCAGAACTTATAGTCATTGAAATGGCAAATTGCTGCAGTCAATTTGGGAGCCTATAGTTCTTTTGTTACTTTATAAGCAATGTTATTTTGATTTCTAGACCAATGAAGTTCTAGTGCTAACTGGAAAAAGCATTCACTAACCATCACTTTTAACTAACTTCAAGGGCATCTGCATAGAATGTTGCCGATGTTTTGCACCAAGCCTGGGAAATCTCAAAATGTTTTTTGAATGTGAATTTTTGAATTAAAATGAAAGTAGAAAAAAAATTTATAAAAATCTATTCTAGTATTCTAGCCTTTCCAAGTTTTTTCTAAATGAATAAATATTGGTACTGCCCTGTGCCTTGTCCACTGTCACAAACTTTCACTGGTTTATATAATTAAAAAATGAAAGCATTGTTGAAGCGGAAGTTACATAAAATTTGCTAGGCAACATCTGTTATAAAAATTATGTAGTGTTAAGATACCATTAATAAAGCAGCAGGCCCAATACTTCGTCATCGCTTTATCATTCATTAAAAGATCAAAGAAATTTTCGTGTTTTTGCTCAAAAAAATAAACATCAGGTTTTGAAATGCATTTAAATTTTCACCATTGAATTAAGATTCCGCACAATTTTCGCAACATCTATAAAAATTAATTTATTTTATCAGGGTTATGCGCAAAAGGTTCTACAGTACACTGGGTTAAAATCAGTGAACCCTTGATAAGCGACTCAGCAAACGTTCTTGCAGTCGAAGGAATTACAGAAGCTACATGCATCGAAAGCTGCATCGTAAGTAAGCCTTGTAGACTAAATTTAGGTTACTGTTTCCATCTACTTCATTATCGCGGTTGCTTCAGTTGGCAGCTGGTAGTGCAGCAACAAAATTTTTAGAATAACGTTATTGATGGACAAAATTTTCCTTGTCGAGTTTACAGCTACGACAAAACTAATTCATTTTGCTACATAGTAGCAGAACCACAAATTTGGAAGCCAGCGACACCCCCAACGATCAGACCTACAGCTAAGAAAAAAGATGTGGAAGATAGCTATTACGAAAAAGTTTGTTTAGTCGGTATGTTGCAAAAAAAAATTTGCTTTTTTTAGAAATTATCACAAAAAATGTTATCTTTTGGTGCAATTAGTATTAAGCATTTTTCCGACTTTTTAAAACCACTGATACTGAAAGACCGAGTCACAGTATATGCAAAATTTAGCTCGATCTAAATGTAATGGAGCAAGTTTTATTTACGAAGGAAATTATAATTTGAAGCCAATGTATCAGGTAAACCACTTTTATTTTCTCTTCAAACACGTTAAAATGCTTTTCCACAGCTAT